GGCTTTCTTAGTCAATATACTGTCTCTTTAAATGAAAAAGAATCAAGTAAGTTTACTCTGATAAGCATCTTCCAACACTAACTATAAATGAGTATCTGATTCCATGCAAGGAAAAGCCTGCCATGACCCAGACATCCCAGTGCCAACACACCTGTTGGTTATATTCACGTGGGGATGCCTTGGAGCTGCAGTACAGCATCAGTCTCTCCGAGGTACAAGGATGTGGTCCCTCTTCAACACCCTCAACAACTCCTTTGCGAGCAGACCAAACTCAAGCCTAGCCTTGGTCCTACAGCAACCAAGCTGCAAGCCAAGGACTGTTCCCTACAAATCGCCAACCAAGATTGTGGCTCCCAAAGTGCTGACAACTGGGCATCCCAACAACTGAGCAACCAAGTCCCCCAAATCCTGACACTCCCTATCCTTCCAGCACCACCCCTCAACTCCCCACTCTGATCTTGAGCCATTTTCAGTACACGCGCTTCTACCCGCAGTCAAACCTCAGCTTCATCTCGGCTGCAAACAGCTTTTGCAGAACAGTTCATTTCTCTGATTATTTAACCAGAGGCTTCCTGGCTTCACTCTCACCACCGACTGCAATAATGTGCAATTACAAGACTTGAAGAAAAATAAAAGGGAAGTGGCATCTCAGGCCAGGCCAGTGCTGCCAAGACTTTCAACTCCAAAAAAAAAAAAAAGTCACCAAACTCTCTTCTTGCCTCTTGGCACATCATTTCAGGCAGCTTCTTCTATACACAGGTTTTACCCAAATCCATAACATTCTACACAGGCTTTGCCTTTCATTCTCTGCTACTCAATGGGTGAAAGTCAAAAGCAACACTATTAGGAATTTCTGCAAGATGATTTCAAGCCTATCTTCATGTTTGGCATAGACCGATGCCAAACTTGGTGTTTCCAGGACACTGAAGAGACTTGCTTCAATTCCCAATTTTCACTGAAAGGTTCCCTTGACTTTAGAAACTGAAGAAAAAAAATGGGTATTTGCTAAACAAACAAAAAAAAAGGATTGTTTAAAGAAAGTCTTTCCAGTGTGTAGGCTGCTCTTGATCTTCTAAAAGAACGTAGTCATACAAGGTTAAAACCACAGAGCACTATCAACCCAGTACCCATGTTGTTCAGGCACCATGCTGATAATTTATTCAGAAGTCTCTGGCAAACTGCTTTTCCCCTTTGCATTCCCATCTGCAGGGCTACAGTGTAAGAGCCAGCTGAAGCAGCAAGAGGTCCAGCTTCTCCAACCACATCTGCACTGTTAGTGCTGCTCTACCTTCTTGATCCCACGAAGGCGAGACCTTGTTGTGGGGACAGACACAGAATCACAGAATCATAGAATCATTATGGTTGGAAGAGACCTCAAAGATCATCAAGTCCAACCGTATACCTGATGACACGAGGACAGACGTGGAGGTAGGCTGGCTGCTAACTCAGGCCGTTAGTCATCGCAAGCTCTTCCCAGAGCTCTGAACCATTTAATCCAGTGAGAATCATCAGCATTTGCTGTCTTGGTTGGAACATGTCCACGTTAAGGACACGGGTCTAGTTTTAACACCAGCCTCTCAAGCTACTGCTATTTTTAGGTTTGGGCTGTTACTTAAGGCATGTATTATGACCAGAGAGAGCATGGGGGAGATGAGGACAAGAGAAACACCCCATGACAACAACTGCTGTTCAGGATCGCACATCTATTTCAACTATTTAAGCAATTCAGTATATCAAATGCTTTCAGGGCAAGAGTTTGAGTCCCTCTAAAATCATCCTCTTTTGGGAAGGAGCCCAACCACAGTGAGATGTCTTTGTTCCAGCACCGAGCAGTGCTAGTGCCACCCTGACCATGCTTTACCTGGAACCGAGGGGCTTGAATCAATCGGTAATAAAACCCTCCGAACAGGGAAAGCCTTGGATGCCCGTCTGGCACCACAGGAGGCTTGACGGGTGCCGGGGCAAGGGCAGCTGCCCAAGCACAGCTCCTCCGAGCAGAGGCTGTAGCGTCTACGTCAGACCCAGTCTTCCCTTTCAAAGGTTAAAGCTGTTTACTGAAAGGATTAGGAGGGAAGAGGTGGTAAACTAGGAGGAAGCAGCAGGAGACTGTGTACAACAGCTACGTACACAGGGTTCGCCCCGGCAATAAACAGGCCCCAACCCCTCGCCGGCGTGGCGAGCCAACATATAGGTTAGGACCTCGTATGCACCGCCAGCACCACACCCTGGGGCTTCACCCCGAGCCCCAGAAGATGATTTAAACCTAATTGCTTGCCCTCTACACCCCTAGTCCAACCACAAACCAGGCTGGCACCTGAAGACCTGGGGAGCAGGTCTGGTCCTCACATCTACGGAGGCTTTGCTCTGGATGCCTACCATGGAGGGAGGCTGTGCTAGCAGCACAAGAGCGGAAAGATTTCCTCTCTGCAATAGCCTGAAGTTTGTTCCTGGCTACATTCACCCATGCTGCCTCAGGATGAAGCATGATTTGGGTACAAACATTGCTGGAGCAGCAGAAAGCTAAGCCATGACGCTGCAGCTCTGCAGTACATCTTAGCAGCATGGCCAGTTATTAAATAAAAGGTCAATTCCTCTACGGCACTAAGTCTTCTCTCATTTCAAGTAAATAGTCTTCAGAGCCAGACGTTTCAACAGGAAAACCAAAGAGGGATTTATGCACCACCATGGAGGAGAACAATTTCCATACCTGACATGACAGAGCACCATCACCAAGTAAGAACTAATGAGCAAGGCCCTTCCAGCTAACGCAATGCAATTTAGGCAACACCAGAGCTGCGCTAAAAGCAAGACAAAGCATTAATTGTTTTATGCTTGTCTGCCTGCCTTCATTGCACACAAGTTCAACTGAGGACATTCAGTGGCAGGAGGAAGTCACGAAGCCACCCGTGCCAACACGGAACCAGCGTGACTGTTGCAAGAACAACCGCAATGTGCAAAAACTGCCCAGCCAGGAGCCCAGAGTAACGGCGCAAATCGCTTCCAGACCTCAGAGACTTGATCAGATACTGGACCTGTTTATCACCTAAGTGTGGTTTTGCTGTTACATCCAGCTTAATTCTCAAAACAAGGGGAAAACTTAGCAAATATCTTGTGAGTTTGATCCATTAGCTGAACGTAGCTGTTAAGATGACAGAGAAGACTGAACAATTGATCTTGGAAAGCACAGGATGACCCGTGAATGATGCTGTCCCCCAAAGGCTGACAAGATCTGGGAGGTGGGGTTATAACTCAGTGGGCTAACATAGCCTCGTTGCTCACCACATATCACCTTCTCTAACCTGAATGATGCCTGGTGACCAAGCGCAGGGCACTGCCCACAAAGGCAGCTCTAAGGTGGCCTCCAGGAGAAGGGCCAGCTGCAGCACAGGTCTGAAACATCAGGTTAGAAACCAGAGCTGCACCCACTCAAAGTAACTTGGTCTGGTCACTGCACTTGAGCAATCCCTGCCCTGCACAAGCTCAGCTCCTGTTCCGAGATGCTTCAAAAAACAGGAGTCAGAAATTCAAGCAACTGGTAATGAAGGTCTTGGGGAAAAAACGATGAACCGTGGCCAAAGCCACATAGTATTGTTGGTAGTGCCCACAAATAAGGATGTCTAATAAGGTCCTGCAACCCCACTGCAGATCACTCACCATAACCTCAAGGACCACACTTTAGGGACAGATTTTAGGGACAACAGAGTGCAGGGGTTATTGGAAAAAGTTACCGCAAATGAAAAAAGGCTCAAGAAATCGCACCCCAAGAATTCAAAAGAGTTAAAACTGGTAAGTAGCACTAACACAAGAGAAGGCACAAAACTAATTCCAACAAGACCTTACTGGTTCTATAAATGCGTTAATGAAGGCAAACAAAGTGTAGGTCTAT